CCGGAGATTACAAAGGGCACTTGCTGCCTGAGCTGGGAGGAGACCGGTGCAGGCTGGGGGTGGGGCACTTGCGGAGCAGCCCTCTGCCTCAAGAAGGTGTGCCCCACAGCAGATAAGCCACCTAGGACAAGTCTGGGTGTCTCTAAGCATAGTAGACTCTCTACCAGTATGTCCCTTACTGATGCCACTGGGAAATGTCCTAAGATAAGAGGGGAAGCTTTATTCTTCTCTTCTAAAGGGGACTCCTCTCCTTACCCCCAGATTCCTTGTGTGCAGGTGAAAGTCACCAGTGAGAGAACCGGGACATTTTGCAAAATAGAATGTGATCACTGCATCATTTAATATGAAGATTTGAAAAACTTTTCCTATGAAAAATCGATACTCTAAACACACCTGCAACCACACACACATACATTGTTTTTATGAGAACCAATTAATAAATGCTAATTCATTCAGGCATATCTACACTGAATTACTGTTTTCATTGCAGGGGAATTTTCCATTACTAAACTCTCCCTTGCTGATTTTTTTGGGGGCATTATTTATATATTTTTCAGTTTCACTAACAGTGAGGTTGGTATGTGATTTTTATCTGCTGTTTGTATGTCTTAAATTTCTTTTTCATCTAAAATGTTTCCTCATTCTTGCAGCTCCACGTAATCCAGGAGAAACGGCATTAAAAGCAGACAAGACTTTACACATAAATGATTGAAAAAGGCATGGGCTGCAATTAGCCTGACTAGGGTGTGTGTGTGTGTGTGTGTGTGTGTGTGTGTGTGTGTGTGGCGGGGGTGGGGTGGGGTGGGGGAAACCTTGTCTGATTGTACTGCTCTCAGTCCGCTCTCAGTCCAGGTGTGTGCTCTGGGCTAGTGTGGAAATACCCTTCTATGTCAGCGAGTCACAAGTCTATCCACAAAAAGATTGTGGGTACACAAGTAGGAAAGAAGACCGAAGGGGCTTTAATAATAAAACACGCAAATCTGTTTATAAGCCCCCGCTCCCCCCAGCTCAGTGCACAGCTCCTGCTCCTTTTCACGGACACAAATCAGGATTCTGCAATCTAGACACCAGAGATCCAGACCAGCTGGCTCCCCAAGATGCTGCCTCTTTTTATGCCCAGGAGGTGGGGGGTTCCAGTGGTGGTTGGGGGTTACTTAGGGGCGGCAGTAGGAATCCTATTCAAAAGGATGTGCTCTGAGGTAGCATTTCAATTTTCTTAGAATAGCCATGGTTCCTCGCACCTGGCTACCTTTGCTTCTCAAATAAGTTCTTTCATTTTTATTTTCCGGCCACCTTCTCCTGAGTCCTCTCCCCTGGTCTCCTTCCAGAGTCTTTCTTTCTTTTTCAAATTCTTTGCCTTTCTCAGTAACATATTCTGGAGGATGTGAATGATTAAGCTGTTTGCTCCGAGGTTTGGATGTGAAAAGGCATGTCACACCATAAGTAAAGTTTCACCTTTATACTCAACCCTATCAATAATTACAGAACAAGGAGGACCATTGGTATATCCTTTTTGCAATTCGCTCTTACAAAAATAATGCCATTTGTTCAAAGCACCCTGAGTTCTGTTGACTTTACTTTTTATAAAATTTAGTTACAAAGCAGAGTAATTGCCAGGATGAAGTCAGCACATAAAGGGATCGTGAGGACTGCATAGCCGAGGGGAAACATAACCCCGCAAAAAGTGCACCCGTTAAAACTGGAGATCGGAGACCTAATACAAAGTTCTGACACACTGTTATATTGGCAGATGCTCTCCTTTGAACAGAAATATCTCTTCATAATTAAAATTCCACGAGATTGACTTTTGTGCTGTGTTCCTTCCCTTCCTTTGTCCTCTTTAGCAAAACTGGGCAGAGTCCTTTTGGGTACAGACCGATAAATTTAATTAACTTTCCTCCCAGCCCCCCAAAAAGGTCCCAAATAAATGCTTCCAATGACATCAAAAAAGTGTCAATTAGAAATAATTACTTCTTATCCATCAGTGGGGCAATTAAAGTGACAAAGCTTGAAAAGATACTTATCTTAAAACTAATTCGCAAGGTAGCTAAATTATCTCCTAATTAACTTGCATTGAGGAGGGTGGGAGGATGGACCGCCTTGAAACAAAGATGAATTGGGGAACCCCAATACCTCTTTATGCTCTTCCAGAGAGCGTCCATCCCAGAAGGCCTTATTTTCATCCCAGGCTAGAAACTTGGGAAGAAAACGCACCCTCCCCAAATGCAATTTGCTCCTTTCTAAAACCCGGGGTTTCCCACCTCAAATCTGGGGCGTTAGAGGCATGCTCCTCCAGCATCTGGTCTCATTTCATCGCTTGAATATCCCGTTTTCAGGAGCCCTGCACACAAGGTTGCCAGAGTAGTTCCACATAACTTTTAATGACGGCCTGCTTGATAAACTCTCTTCTTCAAAGGTACAGTATTGTTTGCCTTTTAATATTTATGTGGCATTTATCATTTCCCACCCGTCTTGAATATTTAAAAAATATTTTTGCTTGAGAGGATCTTTGGTCCCCGATGCTACAAAATTCCCACTAGGTTATAGGGAAGGTTCAGCCCATTGCTAAGCAGTGCACACCAGAATAATTCGCTATCGCTCTCCACATCCCTTCAGCATAAAGCTGTGAAAAACATGTACATAGATATTTACAGAAAGTAAGACCAGCCCAGAGAAAGCCGAGGGTGGGCTGGTGGCCCAGGGCAGAGGCGCACAGGACACGCAGAAACCTGCGCGTGCGCCAGTGTCGCTGGAAAGGGGAGCCCGCCTGGCTCCCCGCTCCAGGGGCTGCCGGAGGCCTGAGCTCTGTCTTCCCCAGAGGAAACCTAGGTGGGAGTCTCCAGGTGAAGCCCCTCAGAAATGGAAGTGCAGGGAGACAGAAGCCGATAACACCTAACACCGAAGCCAGAAATAGGCGTACAAAACCAGGAATGGCAGAGTATGAACTGAGTGAGCTCCACAGACAAGGCAACACCGTCCGGTAAACTGATGAGAAAGACAGGATCCTCGATGCTAAGTCAACAGAGAATTTATAAGAGAAGCAGGGTGGCCAGACCCTCTGAGCCGCATTTTAGGCAGTTCTCTTCTGTTGTGTTACTATTGCATTAAACGGAAGGGAAAAGTCTCCTTCTCCTTTCCGCTCGGCTTTCTTTCTTTGTTTTTGGTGTATGTGTGTGTGGGGGGGGGGGGGGAAAGAGAAAAGAAGTCCCTCTCGCCCACCCCCCCAGAGGGAAAACTCCGGACCCTCCCCCGCCGGTGCTCCGCTCCCTCCCCAGACCGAGGGCGAGTTGCTTCTAAGCTCTCGGGAATCCGAGCAGCATCTGGGCTCCTTGATGATTTACAATGAAAACAAATTGTGTCCTTTTTTCTTTCCTTTATTTCCATTTAGTCTAATGATTGCTTCTAGAATGGAAATAAGTAGCGAAAACAAAATCAAGCCAGCCCAGGGAATGGCAATGTTGCCTTATTTCCCAAAGGGTCTGGTCCGGCGCAGTAAATTCGGGGTCCGAGAACACCCACTCCTGCCGCCTCCAGAAAGGTCGGGGCAGAGTGGGGCGGGCGGGCTGGCTTCGGACTGGAGAATGACTCGGAGCCCAGCTGAAAAGGCTGGACCAGCCTGGGGCGAGATCCCGCACCCTGGCGCTGGGCCTGAGAGCCGGTCCTGCTCTCGCGGGGCGACACCCAGGATTGTACCTGTTTTGGCTGAAGGCTAAAGGGCCAAATACCTCTCTGGCCCCCGAAAGTGGCCCAGGAGCGCGCGTGGCTCCCGGGCGCCGCTGGGCAAGCGGTGCTGGGCAGACCCGCTCGGACCCGGGCTCCGGAAGGGTCTCGAGGTTTTGGACCTGCGCCCCAGGACTGACAGCAGTGTGGGGGTGGGGTCCTGCTGACTCGTCTCCGCCAGGCAGCCAACCAGAGTAAGATACCTGCGCTCCCACCCCTAGTCTCCCCGAGCCCCACACCCCGGAGCCTGGGCCGGCGGATTGGAGGCTGCGCGCAGAGCGCTCCGCTAAATAGAGATCTCAGCCCCGCGCTGCTCGGACCCGACCTCCTTATTATAACAAATGTCCCGTTTGCCGAGCGGACTTCATATTCGCTGAGAATTCATCTGAAATATTGATTTCCTCTCACTTCGCCGGCCCAAATCGATAGCGCTGCGCCCTGGCCCCATAAATCGCCTTCCCGGGGGGCCAACCCGGCTCCATCCATCACCGCGGCCGGCCCAGGCCGCTGCCCGCACTTGCTGCGCGCCCCGAGGCCGTGCCCAGTGAGCCCACCAGCCCGATCCTAGGGCACCTGCCCAGCAGAGACCCTCATCCCTCACTCCGCCCCGGCCTAGCTCGGCCCAGGAGAAAGAGAGAGCAGGTGCGGAGGCTAGGGACACTGAGCGCCTTTGAAGGCCCTAGGCCAGGCGCTATCCGGGAAGAGGTTCCCTCCGCGGGAGCTCAGTCCCAGAAGCCCAGGCGCCCCGCGCCCCCGCTGCTCCCCTCCTGCCCCGTGCTCGGCCAGGAGTCTGCACCCCGAGCTCACTCAGAATCCCCAGGCCCCTAAACACGGCCTCCTTTCAGAAGGACTGGAGAGGTGTGCTGGCTCCCAGTCGCGCCCGGGGATCCAAGAGAGCTGCGCGCATCCGGACAAGCGCTTGGTGGTCGGGACAAGGGAACTGCAAGTCCAGCAGCGCACGGCCGGCCCACCCTCACCGCCATGCCAGCCAGGGTGGGTGCGAGGAACACCTCTCCGACCCGCGGAGAGCTCTTCACCCCTCCGTGTGGCCCGCAGAAACCCAGGCCTGCACTGGCAGCACCGCGGGGTGAGGGGACCTCAGAGCTGGAGAAAACAGCGAGGCGGCCGCCGCGGAGAGCCAGGCCCCAAGGCACCCCTTGCGAGTCCTCAGGAAGGGGGGTCCCGCGAGTCCGGCGCGCACGCCCCCAGCCCCGCTGCCCCCAGCGCACGCAGGGACACAAGGCGATCCAGGGCTGGGGTCCGGCCACTCGCGTCCTTACCGGATCGGATGGAGTTGTGAGGCATCCTGAGGATCACTCGTGGCCCGTGCGAGGCTCAGGGAGTCCTCACGCAGGTCCCTGCCGCATCCGCCGCGCCGCTGCCCTGCAGGCCCAAGGGAAAGGGCGTGAGAGCGCGTCTGCCGCCTTAGTCCTTCACCCAGGCCCTGTCCCCCTGACTTTCGCTTCGTGACAGGAGTCTGAGGGTTTAGTAAAGTGTGGCCAAGCTCAGCCTGGCCTAGCAAGCACATGTGGGACGGGAGGGTCCGGGATAGGGGGTCTGCCAACAAGCTCCCAACTCCAGCCTGGGGGGCCCCCTTCCTCTGCCTCGCCGACCCCATCCAGTTTAACTTGGGAGGAAAAAACGCTTCTTGGGACCCTCTCCCTTCCCCAGTCGTCATCCTTCTCCGCAGGAAGCTTTCAGTGCAGCTTACCTGGCCTGCGGCCTCTGGCCCTCAGTGCCCTGTCCGCTGCTGCGAGGGTGCCCTGTGCCTGCGTCTCTCCTTGGTCCCAAGTTTGTTCCTATCCACCAGGCATCGCTACCGGTTTTATCCCGCCAGGGCCCTGAGACAAGGGTCTGGAGAGGCTCGCAGCCCGCGGATTGGCTGGCTGGGTGCAGGGGGGTGCGGGAAGGGGAGGATTTTGCAAGGGGGACATGGCTGAGTGGACTCAGGAGTTAGAAACATTCTCTGGAGCTTCTGTTTCCAGCAGAGAGGAGAGGGAGGCAGCTGAGCCCTACCTCAGCAGGCCTGGAGACATTCAAGGAGTGCGATGGAGACCTCAGGCCTGGAGGTGAGGGTCTCTGGGTCCTCCCAGGTCACTGGCCACCAGAAGTGAGAGACACAGCTGCTGGGCATACCCTCTCGCTCCTGGTCTGCTCTTGGGCAAGCAGCCTTTCTTGTGCAGGAGGATCTTGTTTATATGCCGCCTTCTCAGCACTGGTATGGGCCTCTTCCAGGACAGAACCCGGAATAGCCCCTGAGCCCATGCCCTCCTCACCACCAGACAGGGTCCTCACCCTCACACTACTAGGTTAATGACAATGGTTACAAAACCCATTTCACAGGCTCTCTCTCTCCCCCAACACACACACACACTCATCGCCAGCCCTCTTGCTTGCTCCTGGAGGATTTTGAACTTGGGAGAAGAGTCCACAGGCCTGGCGCTGAGAGCCTAGATCTCACCGTAGGAGGGTGTTAGAAAGGGACAGGACAGAGCCCACCTGTGCTCTTGTCTGCAGAGGTCAGCAGCTTTGGAAAGTGAGGGCCTGGGTGGGGGGCTGAGGAGTCTTAGTGTGGCAAAAGTGGGGTACAGGCTACGCTGTGAGGGGTGGGGCAAGGCCTTGATGCTTCTTCAATCTCAGACGAGGCTCTGGGACTCGAGGTAACAGCCCAGAGGACAATGTGCTCCCTGGTCCCCCAGGGCTGTGCTGCCTGGGAAGGCTCTGGAACAGAGGGTGGAGTTGCTGGGTGAGAGAGCAGCGAAAGGGCAGAGGAGACGGTGTATTCAGGGTGTATGTGTGTGGGGGACAGAAAGGGAGAGAGAGAATTCACAATATTTTTCTTAATTAAAAAAATAGTTCTATTTTCCAGGCTAACCCACTTCCTCCTCCCTTCTTGGTTCTCAGTTTATCAAAAATTAATTATTTTGTGAAAGAATATATATGACCTCAAACTGATCCTTTCCATTTCTTAATGTCTCTAAACAAAAACAGTAGGTGCTTTATGATTTTAAAAGTTCCTCTAAAATTGTAGTTTACAGTTGCTCTGTGGTTTCCAGATGTCTGGACACTCACTTCTCTGCTCAGAGCCTGGAGAGATGCTCCCTCGTAGGGTGTTGAGATGGAAATGGGCCTCAGCATAGGTCCCACCACCACTGGCAATTCCCCCTTACTCTTCCCCCCCCCCCCCCCCCCCCCCCGCCACTTCTAGGGGAGCCTGAAAGCCACCAAGAGGCTCCCCTCCCACCCATGAGGCTGTGCTCCAGGGTGAGTCTGGCAAGCCCTCATCCCTACAGCTGTGCAGCCCTCAGAGGGACCACCCAACTACGGGGCTGAGAGATACCAGCGGCCATGGAACTCAGGCACCGCCTATGCTGTTCTCTGGCTCAACAAAACAAACTCTTCAGAGAAAAGTTGTCAAAGGACAAAAACCACTGGTAAGTGATCAAAACGTCCTTGTGTCATCTGTGAGGGGACAGGAGGCCACTCTGCGGAGAAGTTCTGGAGCCCACAGGCTGCAGGCAGGAGGGACTGAGCCTGCCTCCTGCTCTGGCCCTGCTTTCTGATGCCCGTGGGAAGCAGGCCAGGGGCCTTGCCATTTCCCACTTCTCCTCAGCCAAGGCCAAGGAAATGGTTTAATAGCATCCCGACTCATTGAGGCCGGCCTCTTTCTCTGCAAAATGAAGAGGTTGAATATATATATATATATATATATATATATATATATATATATATATATTTTTTAAATGTCTTTTATCACAGTTTTTTCTCAGACTTTTAAGAATCCATGATTCTCTTAGTTAAGAATGAAAATCCCAAACTTTTCTTCGATGGTTCTTCAAATTTCTAACTAATTTTAGCATCATGAGTGAGAGACTCTCGGATCAATGGGAAATTCAGAACCAACACCTTCTTCCCCAGCGCTTCTTTTCAGATTCGGTGCCTGCAGCAACCTGTGGTTGAAACCTCTTATAATTTTTTTTTTTTAACCCAGGAAAAATGATTTAGTTGCCAATTTGAAAATACATAGAGGAGAGAAAGTAACTCTGACTTGTCTTTATGGTTTTGACAGACCTGGCCACAGGCCTGCGTGTTTCATTGTGGATATGAAGATTCTTTCAGGTTTAACATTCAAAGAGTTTACATCCACCCCAGGCAACTGCCTACATCCAGGTCCAGTGAGTATTCTGTGGTTTTTAAAGTTCAGGTTGATCCGCTGAGCCTTCCCAAGAAGGTCTTTTTCCCGCGGGACCCAGCTGAAATCCTCTGAGCTGGTGGCACGGCTTGGCAGGGCGCTTGTTCCCTGGATGTGGGATTTGGGGGCTAGACCACTGTCCCTGGCAAACCAGGATGAGGTGGCCATCTAGCTGATGGGAAGCTGATGGTTTGGGGGCCGGTCATTGTGCAGCTGGAATCCTACCTCCTGGCCTACCTGCTTAGCCCTGGAATTCCCCGTGGTCCATGGGCCTCTCCCTCTGCCCATGTACTCCAGGAAAGGCCAGCCTTGGGGGAAGGTTTTTGTCCCCCAAGAACCCTCCTTGGCTACCTGCCCTCCACTGTGTGATAAATACCTCCCGGGACTCATGTACACCCTTTGTTCTGCCCTGGCTCCCTGGGATGGGCCCTTCCTTTCTCTGAGCCTCGGTTTCCTCTGCTTTGGGGTGTGGGTGCAGGTGGGGAGTGGGGCGGGGGGAGGGGGGAAGGGGAAGACGCCCTGTCCCGGCTTTGTTGTGAGGTGAATAGAGTTATGGATGTGAATGCCCTTTGAAAGCCGCAGCTCTGCACAGAGTTAATTATTAGACAACAAAGGCAGGGCAGCACTTCCAGAGGGCAGAGTGGAACTGCTCTAAAATTTTGCTGTAGAAGTCGGTTCCTTTAATCCTTTCCCCAAAGCACTGTGAGTTTCAAACAGCCACCTGAGCCCTGAGGTGATGGACAGGTGATTTCCTGTTGGCAGGAAAGGGCCAGGGCCGGGAGTGCGCTGTGGGTGGAGGTGGTTGTGGGCTGCATGGGGGCTGGGGTGTCCATGAGGGGACCCGGAAGGAGGGAGCACAGCCAAAGGCAGAGGAGGCCCCAGGTGGGCAGAGCCTCCAGCCTGGATGACTCCACAGTGCTCAGGGTCTCTCCTCCCCTCAGACTTGCCCACCGCTGCCAGGGCCACACAGGAGGGTACCCTGTCCCCACACCTCAGGACATGGCCAGGGCAGGCCCTGAGGCCTCAGGGTGGTTGTGCCAGACAATCAATCATTAATTGTCTTGTGCTCCTCCCCTCCTCCACTCAGGCTTTCAAAACCCAGAAATAGAAATGCAGGTCCTGGCAGGAGAAAGGAAAGGGCCACCGGTTGTGGAAAGCACTTTGGAAAAAGCCACCGGTGGCAGAGGTCCAGTGGTGTCAGGTTGGAAAGGTGTTCTGGGCACATCTCTCCGGGGCTCCTCGCCCCCTGGCAGCCCCTGAGCAGGCGGCTGCCCCCAGTCTGCTGGGAGGTTGCTGTCTGCAGGCTGCGGAGGAGCCTTACTGGGGAGAGAGAGGCAAGGGCCCGTGTAGAGGGGATAACACGGGTCAGTTTTTTTCTGGTAATAGTCGTTTTTTAAAAAGTTAAAAAGACTCAGACTCCTGTCTAAGTTGGTTGGAGCCAACAAATGTTGCAGGTTCAATTTCTGGTCAGGGCACAAACCTAAGCTATGGGTTCGATCCCCAGTTTGGGTTCGCAGAGGAGGCAAACCACTTAATGTTTCCCTTTCTCCTTCTCTCGCTCTAAAAATCAATAAACAGCCAAAACTGGTTTGGCTCAGTGGTAGAGCATCGGTCTGCTGACTGAAAGGTCCCAGGTTCGATTCCGGTCAGGGGCATGTACGTTGGTTGCTGGCACATCCCTGGTAGGGGGTGTGCAAGAGGCAGCTGGTCGATGTTTCTCTCTCATCGACGTTTCTAGCTCTCTATCTCTCTCCCTTCCTCTCTGTAAAAAATCAATAAAATATATTTAAAAAAATCAATAAACATATCCTCAGGAGAGGATCTTTAAAAATTATAAGCAATGAGCAAGGCCCTTTTGCGACCTGTGTTGCAGTCGGGAAGACAAAGCCCCAGGAAAGTTAGCCGTGGGCGGATGACACAAGGTCAGGGCGCACTGGTGGCCCAGGCCGTCCCTAAAAATGATGGGAATTCTGCTCTCCCAGCCTAATTACTTCCCCTTCCCCCACAGCACTCGAACTCCTCCCTTCAGGAGGAAGGTTCTGGAACCCAGGGAGTGGCCAGGAGTGAGGTGAGGTCTGACCCTGTGGCTAGAAAACTTTCCTGTGCCAGGAGAGGGTGCAGCTCACTCTGCAGGAATGCCCTCTCCTCAGCCAGGCCCCTGCCTCCAGCCAGAGCAGCCTAGTCAGGCCACAGGAATCCTTCCAGGTCAGCGCTGGGCACCTGAGTGGTGGCCTTCCTGGCACTGTTCGCGGGGAGGTGCCATGGAAAAAACCCAGGCCCAGGCCTTCATCAGACTCCTGGCTGGCTTTGTTCTCCATGGAATGCCAGAGGCTCCTGTTCTTGGCACCAACCATGGAGTAGAGCCTGCCCTCCCCTGGCTCTGGGCAGTGCCTAGGGGCCTGAGGAAAGAACCAGGCCTCTGGTGGCAGGGAGGTGGGATGGCTCCTGCCCTGGAAGGAAAAAAGGAAGAAAGAAAGGAAGGGAAGAAGGGAGAAAGGGAAGGAAGGGAAGGATGGAGGGAGGGAGGAAGGAAGGGGGGAGGAAGGGAGGAAGGAGGGAGGAAGGGAGGGAGGGAGGGAGGGAGGGAGGAAGGAAGGAAGGAAGGAAGGAAGGAAGGAAGGAAGGAAGGCAGGCG